ACCCAGTACCGGAGTCGCAGACTGGCACTTGGTCCCAGTATCGGTGGGCAGGAAATACCCAACCGCAATTTTCAATGCCGTTTCCGATGCACAACATGAATGGATGGCCAGGATTTGGATTTCCGTATCCAATGATAGGTAACCCATTCAGACCAGAAAATTTTAATCAGGGAGAAACTTCCAATTTTGCAAGAGCATATCGTAACTATCAGAACAAGAATAATAATTGGAGCAATAAGTGGAATAATGGACAAAATAATCGAGATAGGCAGTCGTATGGCAACAACAAACCTAGAGAGGGTCAGCTAGCAATCCAGGCGACTGGAGATGCAGAAGGCAGTGGCCAGACAAGGATGTCTAGGAATTCAAACTATTCCGGACAATCGTATAATTCGAACTATTCAAGGCAGTCGAATAATTCGGCCAATTCAAAACGGTCATATAATTCGATTGGTAACTCAGAGAGGGGCGGAAATCGGCTGGCAACCACGGGTCAGCTGCATAAAATCCAGGAGGAAGGAGGATGCAAATTTTTCGCAATCAGCCTCGAGCAACCAACAGGATATTTAGGGACCAGGAGGGGTTATCATCCCTACCTTATGTATTGAGCCAAATCACTCCGGAATCCACTTTCTCATTTATTCGTCCCGAACTAGCTCAATCACAATACGTGAAAGATTTACAAGACCTAATTGCGATTAAGACACACACAATCTCATAAAATTTATAAGGAAGCATACTTACCAAAGATTTTTTACAACAGTTAAAGGCCGTGATCGACATAGAAAATGGTTGGTTCCCACGGTGGAGGAGAAGTTGCAGATTCAGTTCACTAAATATAGATCAAGCGAAGTTCACACAATAGAAGCAGAATCAAAAAGAGTACTCTCTATCCCAGTACAAGTATCCGATGTGGATTTCTTGTTAAGTAAAACAACAGTAAAGGAAGGTATGATCATTTCAGAAGGACTTTTACAGGGCAGTGGCAGGACAGAGCCTGGTATAAGTAACAAACTATGCAGAGATAGACCAGGAGTTGTTTTTGGAAGAACCACTAAATGTTGTAAAATTCAAAACCGAGCAACATTTCGAACTCAATAATATAGAAGAGGCAGGTAACAAAGATAAAAACATACCATTCCACAATATCAGGACAGAACATTTAAATAACGAGGAGCTTAAAGAGCTTCAGAGAATTTGCAGGTAGTACCCGAAGGTATTCCATAGGGAAGGTGATAATTTGTCTTTCACCATTCGAACATCAAATCAGAACCAATGATGACATACCAGTGTATGCCAGACCGTACAGATATGCATTCAAGAAGAGACAGGAAGTTAGAAAACAGCTAGAGAAGCTATTAGATCAGAAGATTATTAGACATAGCCACTCACCATGGAGTGCGCCGGTTTGTCTGGTGGAGAATGGTGGTAGATTATAGGAAATTAAACGAGAAAGTAATTAAAGACAGATATCCCCTACCAATAATAAACGATGTATTGGATAACTTGGGGAGAGCCAAATATTTCTCAACCTTAGATTTGGCGAGTGGATACCACCAAATCGAGGTAAAGGAGGAAGATATCCCGAAAACAGCTTTTTCTGCCGAAGGAGGGCACTTCGAGTATGTACGAATGCCTTTCGGTTTCAATAACGCTCCCGCAACCTTTCAAAGGTTAATGAATAACATTTTCGGAGAATTGCTAGGCAAATGTTGTCTCAACGTCGTTGCAAGAACACATCACAGATTTAGAAAGAGTCTTTAAGAAGCTTGCAGAAGCAAATTTTAAACTGCAGTTAGACAAGACAGAATTTTTGAGAAAAGAAGTAGAATATTTATCATGGAAAATCGAAGCAATAAAAGATTCAAAATTCCGAAGACTAGGAAACAGATTAAATCATTCCTAGGTCTGCTGGGGTACTATAGGAAATTTATACGGGACTTCGCGGCGATAACGAAGCCAATGACGAGGCAATTAAAAGGAAAAAAGGCTGTACAGATGGATCAAGAATACAAAGAATCATTCGAGGTATGCAAAACCTTATTATGCAACGATCCGATCTTACAGTTTCCCGATTTTGACAAACCATTCATCCTTACCACGGATGCCAGCAACTATGCGATTGGCGCCGTATTATCCCAAGGAAATCTGGGTACGGACAGACCGATAGCATATGCTAGTAGAACTTTATCAGGATCAGAGGTGAACTATGCCACCATAGAAAAAGAAATGCTAGCCATTATTTGGGCAATTAAACATTTTGGACACTATGTATTCGGCACAAAGTTCAAAATAGTCACTGATCATAGACCATTAACCTGGCTGATGAGCGTCAAGAAACCGGAATCCAAGCTCGTAAGGTGGCGACTCCAAGTATGATTACGAGATTGTGTATCCTTGAAAGAAGTGGCAGACGCATTGAGCAGAATTCAACCTAAACTCAATGTTTTAGAAGATGTCTCAGAGATAGCGACAAATGGAGAGACAATTCACTCTACTGGGGAAGACCTGCAATTGGGATTCCCAATATCAGAAAGATCACTGAATGAGTATAATATTCAAGTGGTTATACAGGAAGGGAGAATAGCAGGAGTAGTAAAACAAATTCCATTCAGGAATAAATTACGAGTAGTTTGGACGGAAAATAACTTTGATGACGAAACAATTGCCCGTAGGCTAAAAGAAATCCTAAAGCCTAAAAGAACGGTGTCGTTGTTGATTCCGGAAAACTTGGTGATAATAATCCAAGACGTATATTGCAAATACTTTGCCTATAGTAAGTAGGGCAATAAGATGTACAGTTTTGTTGTCAGATATAATAGGAAGAAGCGAACAGGAACAAATCATTAAGGAGTATCACGAAAAGAGCAATCATAGAGGAATAGACGAAACGGTAGCTCACCTCAAAAGAAAAGTGTTTTTCCTACACATGAAACAGGCAATTACACAAACAATAAATGATTGTGACAGTTGCCAAACTCAGAAATACGATAGGAAACCAAATAAGATAATATACAGTCTGACAGAGACACCAGAGAGACCCATAGAAATAGTACATATAGACTTGTATTGTGTGAACAAGAAAAATGTACTAACCATAATAGACAAATTCTCGAGGTACGCTTGGAGATTAACGATTCCAGCGAAGGAAAGCGTAAATATAGTAAAGGCAATAAAAAGTTTCATGGCCTTATTCGGAGTACCCAAAAAGATAGTTTGCGATCAGGGAGTAGAATTCTCGTCCAACCTCTTCAAAGATTTTTGTAGGCAGTACGAGTTAGAACTGCACACAACGTGTTTTCAGCAGTCGTCGAGTAATTCAACGGTTGTAGGAGGGCACGATAAACGAAACTAAGAAAACAAATAAATTGGATATCAGGCATGAGGAAGTACTGGACGAAGCGTTTATAACTTATAATAACGCCATTCATTCAGCTACCAAGCTAACACCACAGGAATTATTTACTGGGAGAACACATAATTGTTTAAATAACGTGTCTTTTAACAATGAACACGATTATTTACAAAAGATCAATGCGTTTCAGGCAGAATTATATCCAAAAACCAATGAAAGAACAACAGAAATCCAAGAGAATAGAAACAGTAAATACAGGTAGAAAAGAACCAAGTCCGGTACAGGCAGGAGATACGATATTTAGGAAGGAAAACAGGTGGGATAAGCTTATACCTCGGTTCTCAAAACACAAGGTGTTGAATGACAATGGCCTGACACTAATGTCAACCAGACCACAGAAGATTCACAAGGAGAAAATCAGAAGATTAACCAAACCAAGCGAATAAATAATTACAGGTGGCCAAGGACCATGGCTGCGGAAAGGAGCTTTGAGATCCGGCCTTTGAAAGGAGACTAGCCGTTGGCACAAATCAACTTAGGCCCGGCGAAGATAATACAGACGCACAAGACATTTATACACATAGTAAGACTACAGGAATACCAAGGAGCAATAGAGGGCATAGAGCAAACGCTCAGAGACATAGTTGAAGATACAGAAACGAAGCATCTGGTGAGAGCACTTCAGAACAAATTACAAATGCTGAAGACAAGGCTGGAAGCTATATGTCCAAAGAGTAGGAAAACGACAGGATTGATAAACGGATTAGGTTCAGTCGTCAAATCGATAACTGGAAATATAGATGCAGAAGATGCAGAAAGCCTAGAAGCATCGCTCCGTTATGGTCGGTAGTTCAGTCTGAGGGGGGAGGAGTTACCGCCTCAGCAGTTACCCACGGCGGTTCCCCACCGAAACCCCCACGGCAGCCTAACATCTAGCAGCCAAAGTACCGCCTCAACAAATACCCTCCGCGGTACCCCACCGAATTCCCACGGCAGCGAAACGTCTAGTAACCAAATACCCCGTTGGCAATAAAGTTGCCAACCAAATACAAACATCGGGACCACTTCGGATCTAAACCCCACATATGCATCCGCTCCAATTTCAATTCCCTTCCGCTATGTCAGTATAATTTCAGGCGAACATTTAAGCATTGAAAGACGAATAATTAAATAAAGAATTCAGTTTGAAATATATTGTCAAAGAAACCAAAAAAAAAAGCTCCCCGAACCAAATTGGAACACCTTTCCTTTAGTTAACTGGCGCTTAACAGCATAAACTTGAGTTAACTCAATTCCTACTCGACAATCATATCGACGTAATGCTGCTTTCAGAAACACACCTTACAAAGAAATACAATTTTCAACTTCGATGGTAAAACACATGGCGGGACTGAAATTCTAATCAGAAACCGTATTTATAACATTAAAGTTAGCAAATATCTGCCAACATAAACATAGTACCCGACTCACATCAAGTGGGAGGGGGCAAGTAGGATGTTTGTTACAATTAAATAAACAGAGCATTCAGAAAATATCAAAAAATACAGTTCCTTATATTGCGAACATAAAACTCGAAATGGATCATGTACCTCAAAATTCGTCTTACAAATATCGAGAACAATAGGTCGAAAGTGACGAGTAGACCTTACAGGGATGGAGAACCGTATTTGACCTAGTAGGAAGCTTGAATTTACAAGTTCAGTTATTAATTTGTGAAGGAACATGACAGCATTGCATGTTCAATAGAGACAGTTTATTGACGTGAGATGGTAGGTTACGATGTGTTTCCCAGTTTAAACCACGTAAAGCAAACAAAAGGAACTCTTTCTGTACCGATTCGATAAGGTCCTGATAATTGGTATATTGAGGAGACCAAACACACGAGCATTATTCAAGAATTGGACGAACCAAGGAAATGTATAAGTGTTTCGTGGTATAGGGATCCTCAAATTTCTTAGATCAACGTTTAACAAAGGCAAAAACTGCTTTAGCTTTACCAACTAAGTTGTGGTTGAATAACACTCCAAGATCTGTTACGGAATTTATGCGTTCAAGATCATTCGACCCAATAGAATATGGCGTGAGGAGAAGCCTCCTTTGATAAAAGCACATAACTTTACATTTCGAGTTGTTTAAAAACAGCAAATTCTGGATGCACCAAGAATGAAGGTTGTTCAGATCAGCTTGCAAGAGTTCATGGGAATTGGGGTTCGATAATGGCAAAAAAAAATATTTACGTCGTCAGCATACATCATAACATGAGAAGAGAGAAAGTTCCAAACAGTAGGGGTCCTAGGTGTCTCCCTTGCGGAACACCAGAGTTCACGTGAACAAAGTTTGAGATTGTGCTTTTAAAAGCTACTCTCTGAGTCCGGTTCGAAAGGTATGTTGAAATTATTATTAAAAACTACCTACAGGCCACATCAATAAATATACAAATAAACACTGGAAACCAACTTACACTAGCCGCCGTATACTGCTCCCCTCGCTTCACTATAGCTAATTGTGATTGGCATTGTAGTCTCCAACTGCTATGAAGTGGTCTCCCCTTTGCCTTGAATATAAAGTCATGCTGTGTAGCTCGGTACTAAAACCTTTATGAATGTACGGCTCCCAGTTATGGGGGAATGCCAGCAATAGCAATATTGACATACTCCAGAGAGCTCAGTCGAAGATCTTGAGAACAATCACCGGGGCATCGTGGTACGTTCGGAACGAAAACATACATCGCGACTTAAAAATTCTACCAGTCAAAGAAGTGATCGCAGAACAGAAGGAAAAGTACTTTACTTTATCTATCGTATCAGTATATGTCTGATGCGAAGTTGGTAAAATTGATCTGGTTGGAATCGATTGGAGCCTTAGTTGAAAGAAAAAGCGGACCCAGGTTTTATCTCGGAGTCAGTCAGACAGGCCGCAATCCGATGGCCCACCACAGTCCAACCGACCATGGAGCGCACCCGTAGCACGATTCGCGAGAAAATAGACGCGAGAAATAAAAGTATAGACACAATTTTGGGGGAAAAAAGTGAGATCAATTTTGTGCTAATGAAATTTAGGAAAAGGTATATTATAGTCAGAACATAATACTCTGAAAGGGTCATGCAAGGCATAGTAAGGTCTACAATGATTTAATATTAGGGGAATATAATTTCTAGTTAATCTACTTGGCACAGAAAAGTTTAGCCGACTTAACAAGTCGGGGCAGTCAATATCACCATGTATAAGGTTATAAATAAAGATAGTACCAAGCATCGTTCTACGGTTGGCTAGGGATGGTAAATTAATCAAAAAAAGTCTACTAGAATAAGAAGATAAGATAAGATTTGCATCCCAGTTTAGGCGCCGTAAAGCAAAAAGAAGGAAGTTTTTTGTACAGATTCGGATGGATTCGGACGGACTAGCGAAATAAATAAAGTTTTAGTCAAATAAGGATCATCGAATTCTTTTGACCACCTTTTAATAAATCCAAGCATTCCTCTGGCTTTATTAACCATGGACGAAATGTGATTAGAAAATTTTAGTTTAGGGTCCAAGAGAACGCCAAGATCGTTTACAAGAGTTATTCTATCCAAAGAGCTGCCACTTAACGTGTAAGTCGCGTATATCGGATTGGCCCGATAAAAAGTCATCAGCTTGCACTTGGAGCCGTTTAAATTTAGTAAATTATCTCGCCACCAGTTTTGAAAATTATCTAGATCGGATTGCAAGTTTAAATGGCAGGAAATGTCCTTATACTGCAGGCACAACTTAACATCATCTGCGTACATAAGTACGCGAGAATGACTTATAATTGAGGGAAGATCGTTAATAAATAATGTAAAAAGTAACGGACCCAGATGGCTCCCTTGTGGGACACCGGAGGTAAGACGGAGAATTTCAGAAATTAAATTTTTAAAAAGGACCCTTTGTGACCTGCCATTTAGATAACTTGAAATCCATTTAAGCAGATCAACTGGAAAACCTAAAAGGTCAAGTTTTTGAATGAGAAGTAAGTGGTTTACAAAGTGAAATGCTTTACTAAAGTCAGTGTAAATGACGTCCGTTTGAAAACTACTATTGAAGCCTTTTATCCCAAATGAAGTGAGCTCTAGAAGATTTGTGATTGTGGATCTACGTTTTATAAATCCGTGTTGACACGGATAAATGATTGATCTGCAAAGGTGCTGCAAATGAGGAGTAATAATTTTTTCAAAAAGCTTAGGAATAGCTGACAACTTAGAAATACCTCTGTAGTTACTGGCTTCTAACTTGTTACCTTTTTTGAAAAGAGGAATAACAAATGATTCCTTCCAAATATTTGGGAATTGGGAGGTTTCTAGAGATAAGGTAAACAACTTGTGAAGAGGTTTGCACAGGGCCTTAGCGCAATACCTAAGCACGCACCCAGGAATACCATCGGGCCCTGGCGAATAAACAGGCTTAATACGAAGAAGTTCCAAAAGAAGAGAGCTTTCTGTTAAAGTGGGACAGAATATGAAGTTTGACTTGGACATGGTGTAAGAATAAGGCTGTGATGAATAATCTAAAGTAGAGTAAGTCGTTTGAAAAAATTGGGCAAATAAATCGGCTATTGCCTGATCTGTGGTTGCCGTCATGTTTTCGAACGACAGCGAGGAAGGAAAAGAATTAGATTTACGCTTGGTGTTAACAAAATTATAAAACTGTTTCGGGTCCTGAGAGAACTGGACCTTACAACGGTTTAAGTAACTATTATAACACTGAGCATTAAGCACGGTAAATCTCGACCGAGCACTTAAATATCTAGTAAAAACAGATTGAGAACCGGTATTTTTATATTTCCTAAAAAGTCTGGACTTTACATTTCTTAAGTGTGTCAACTCTTTGCTAAACCAAGGTGATTTATTGGAAGTTGACGGATAGTACCACGGAACACAGGAATTAAAAAATGAGTTTATTGCAGTGTAAAAAACATTAACTGCATCGGACAAATTAATGCATAAGTAAAGATCAGACCAATTAAAGCCAGAAATAAAATTATTTAGCCTCAGAAAGTCTGCCTTGCGAAAACAATGCATTCGTTTGGATGATTTTTCTGATTTTTCTTCTATAACTCTACCCGTATCAAATGAAAGTTCGATTGTAGGGTGATATGGATCTTCAGGTTGCGTGAGTGGTGCTACTCTAGACAGAGACTCACCTTCAGGATTTGATACAAAACAAAAATCAAGTAGGCGACCTAATGAATTTCGAACATGGTTTACTTGAGATAATACTATAGGTAGCATTCGATCCATCCTCAGTGGACCAAGTAACTCCAGGTATATTAAAATCACCTAGAACTACCAACTGATCCCTATCGGAAAGCTTATTTGCAACGGACTTAATAACGGAAAGGTGATTTAAATAATCAGGAAGTTCAGACAACGGCGGAATATATGAGCAAGTTATGTATATAAAGTTACCAGGAATCGATAACTTTACACAAATAAATTCAATGGTATTGAATTCATCAAAAAACAAGAAAGAAAAGCTAACTTCGGGCGGAGCCGAAGTTGATATACCCTTGCAGAATATTCTGTAAATTATATTCTCCAAAATTATTCATATGATGCAATCTTAATACTCATAAAAAATCCCAACTTCCTAACTTTAAAAACACCAAAGTTATGGCATTTCCAATCGTTCAGTTATATGGCAGCTATAGGATATAGTCGGCCGATCCTTATGAAATTTGATAGGTTGGATTGATTGGTTAAAAATAGAACCCATAGAAAATCCCAACTTCCTAACTTAACAAAAACCAAAGTTGTGGCATTTCCGATCAATCAGTTATATGGTGGCTATAGGATATAGTCGGCCGATCCTTATGAAATTTGGTAGGTCGGATTAATTGGCCAAATATAAAACCCATATAAAATTCCAACTTCCTAACTTAACAAACAGCAGAGTTATGGCATTTCCGATCAATCAGTTATATGGCAGCTATAGGATATAGTCGGCCGATCCCGGCCGTTCCGACTTATATACTGCGTGCAAAGGAAAGAAGGGTGTGTGCAAAGTTTCAATTCGATATCTTTAAAACTGAGAGACTAGTTCGCGTAGAAACAGACAGACGGACAGACAGACGGACAGACGGACAGACGGACAGACGGACAGACGGACAGACGGACAGACGGACAGACGGACATGGCTATATCAACTCAGGAGGTGATCCTGATCAAGAATATATATACTTTATAGGGTCGGAGATGTCTCCTTCACTGCGTTGCACACTTTTGACCAAAATTATAATACCCTCTGCAAGGGTATAATAACTCCTCAGACGGGAGGTTTGAATCAACTCCTATTAAGACTCCACTTCCCCGTCTAGAGGGACGGTCATACCTATATATGGTGTACTTACCTGGAAAAACTTCGGAGCTAAAGATCTCCGGCTTTAACCAGGTTTCTGTAAACACAATAATATGAGATGCAAAGGAAAGGCTATCGGAATACAATTTAGTTAGTTTAGTTTGCTACGCAAACCTCTTGCATTCTGATAGGAAAGAAGGAGGTAAGAAGTTAGTTTTTTGAAATTAATACACTGGTTTGGCCTCGACTATGAAGTTTTTTTTTTCCAGCCCCTTCTTCTTTATCTTAGCCGCGTACTCTTTTACAAACATATTATCCGGCCAAAAGTCGCCCGAGTATATGGCTTCAAAAAGCTCGTTAGGGACAGTTATCTTTTTTTTTTTTTTTTTTGTTTTCGCGCGGAGTCCCACGGTCCACTTACCCGTCCAACCGACCGAGGGGCCCAGCCGTGTATCGTACGGCACGATTCGCGAGATGATAGACGCAAGATAAGAGAATATAGGTAAAAGTCCCGGAAAAAAGTAATAGTAAGATCAATTTTGAGCCAATGAAGCCAGTATTAATCGTTTTAGGAGAGAGTCAAGATTTGAGATTATAGGAAAAAGTCTATTATAGTCAGAACATAATACTCTAAAAGGCTCATGCAAGGCATAGTTAGATCTACAATGATTTAAAAATAGGCGAAAATAATTTCTAGTTAATCTACTTGGCACAGAAAAGTTAACCTGACGTACCAAGTCGGGGTTGTCAATCTTACCATGAATAAGGTTATAAATAAAGACAGTACCAAATATCGTTCTAAGGTTAGCTAGGGAGGGTAAATTAATTGGCACTAATCCACTAGAATAAGAAGGTAAGATAAGATTTGCATGCCAGCTTTGGCGGCGTTAAGCAAAAAGAAGAAAGTTTTTTTGTACAGATTCAATACGACCAATATGTATTCCGTATTGTAGACTCCAGACAGGAGAACCGTACTCCACAATCGGATGAACCAGGGGAATAAATAAAGTCTTAGTGACTTAAGGATCATCGAATTCTTTTGACCATTTTTTTATATAATACCCAGCACCCTTCTGGCTTTATTAACCATGGACAAACTATGTTTTTAGTCCAAAAGGACGCCAAGATAGTTTACAGAAGTTATTCTATCCAAAGACCTGCCCTTAGCATGAAAGTCGCGTTTTTCAAATTGACCCGATTAACTGCTCCTTTTCAATTTACTTTCATGTAACTCCGTCGTGGCTATTTCTTTATATGTTAACGCACAATTGTTTTAATTGTCCTTGTATTTTACATCACCGTCAAACCCCCAATAATTTGTAGGGAATTACAAATTAAATATTGTTTATTTTATTTCGGTTATTTTACAAGGTTTCAAATTAAACAATTAAAGATCAATATTCGGTTTTTACGACTTTCACACTATGGATACTTCGACCTCCTTTGTCAATTGTTCGGCATCAACTAAACTTGGTGCAATATCGTGGCGCGAAATTCGGGTGGAAGAGTTTGATGGACATATAGATTACATTCATGAAAAAGGAGGGAGAGTGGTTTGCGATGATGATGATGAAATTCTACGCCTCGTTGTGAAATCTAGTATATCAATATATCCCCATCCCACATTTATATAATTCATTTTGATTTTTCCAATTTAGATGATTATGTGATTAAATACAATGAATACGCCAAACCACCTTTTTTTGAGGTGCCGCCGGATTAATATTTTTGGATGCAAATTTTCACTTATATTGTTTAAATGTTGTTTGTATTGTTTCATGTGATAACATGGAAAAACAAAAATTCGTATGGCCAATAAACATTCCTAAAAAATTACAGAATTTTCTGTGAATTAATGCATGCAGACAAACCAAGTTTTTTTTACGTTAAAAACCTTTTTTTAATAACTTTTGAAAGGATTATCGGAATAATAGTGATGTATCATTCGACTCCTATTTTTAACAAAAATGCAACCAGGCTAACTGCACATTTTAGGCCACCGGTTTCAACAGCTCCCGTTTTCGAAATTTCTATATTTCGGACTTTCGCACTTCTAAGCCAATTGATTCCCTTTAAGTTTTGGTATGCAATCCCTAGGTTAAAACGGTACCTTTTGATCTATATATTAGAAGTCGACGATTTTATCATTGAAACAATCGGAAAAACAAATAAATATAAATAAAAAAAATCACCAATGAAACAAGAAAGGAAAGCTATCTTCGGGCGGAGCCAAAGTTAATATACCCTTGCAGAATATTCTGTAAATTATATTCTCCAAAATTATTCAAATTATGCATTCTTAATATTCATAAAAAATCCCAACTTCCTAACTTAACAAACACCAAAGTTATGGCATTTCCGATCAATCAGTTATATGGCAGCTATAGGATATAGTCGACCGGTCCCAACTTTCTAACTTTAAAAATACCAAAGTTATGGAATTTCCGATCGTTCAGTTATATGACAGCTATAGGATATAGTCGTCCGATCCGGCTCGTTCCGACTTATATATGCAATAGAAGACAACTTTTGGGAAAGTTTCAAGCAGATATCTTTAAAACTGAGGGACTAGTTTGCGTAGAAACGGACAGACGGACGGACAGACGGACAGACGGACGGACAGACGGACAGACGGACGGACAGACGGACATGGCTAGATCGACTCTCCTGGTGATGCTGATCAAAAATATATATACTTTATAGGGTCGGAAAGGTCTCTTCACTGCGTTGAAAACTTTTGACTGAAATTATAATACCCTCTGCAAGGGTATTAAAATATATATTTGGAAATCTACACATTTGATTTTAAATAATCTTAACGTTACTTAAATAAATTGAAAGGATATTTTAAAATTTTTAATAAACACCGAAACAGTACTTACATTTTCTGCAAATCTTGCGTATTTACCCTCTTCAGACAAAAAATCACTTGAGCATCTTTTTAAATGAGCAATCAGGTACTTTCGAATAGACTTTATCGACGGCAAGATAACACTACATACAAGGGATAAAAGTGCCCAGTTTTTTAAATTTACTCTTGAGTTTGCGTCTGGATGATCCGTAGTTTGCTTAATTAATTGAAGATAAAGTTCATTTAATAAAGATTCCTTTTTCATACATTTTTCCATTATGGATTGAACAATCCGAACATGTTCATCTTCTGCACGTTTTATGGTTTCGCCTGTCAAGACAGAAATAAAAAACAAATATTGTACATTACCAATAAAACTTAAATGCTTTACGTGCAAAATAACCAGAAGTACTATATGTAGTTATTCATTATACCCTTTACTAGAAAAGTAAAAGGGTAAATTGTATTCGTTGAAAAGTAGATGTAATAGTTTCCGACCATATTGGTAGATAAATCTATTTGAGCAGTTACTATTCATTGAAGTTATTGATTAAACTCGAGGTCACACGTTAATTATATTTCACAGTGGGAAGTGAACCCGACTGTGATAGGACTAGCTAGTTATGTCTGCACGTCACCTCAGACTCATTGGCTATCTACGGGGATGAAAGCAGAGCGTCAGAAACTCCTCTATGTTAGGAACAGAGAAGGTTTGCAATTGGAAGTTGCCAAACTTCATTAGTTTTAGTTACATAGATGGAGTTCTGTCGGTAAAGCTTCGTGTATAGTCTGTTGAAAACGATCCTCCTTCTGATATAAAGACGTCGAAGCACCAGAAGGAACAGCAAACCCTTTTAAAATTGAATGCACTACTAAAATACTCTACCGGACCTTAAATTAGATACCCGTTACTCAGCAAACCAATTTCAAAATTAATATGCTCCACTTGGTTTCGTATTTCGAAAATTTTAGGATTCCCTCTTTCCACTTTCTTAACTATATAAATTAACTATATAAATTAAAAGATGACGTCAAAATTAACACATAAGTAATGTTTCGATTTAGAAAATTTTTATGGATAGATATTGATATTTTCATATTCCTCCCAGATGTTGCCGTTCATACAGACGGACGGACTAGATTTTTGATCCTGATCAAGAATAAATATACTTTGTAGGGACATAATGGCTTCCTTCGACCATTCACTTTCCAACGAATACTACATTCCCTTTTACTCTTGTGCAACGTTTATAAAAAAACCAATAGTTTTAAAAGAGTCTACTTTAGACTCTACAACTAAATTACTATATTTCATAGTTTTATCGTTTTCAAGCCGTATATTCTTATATTATCGCTAGCTTTTTTTATGTCAGCCGCACGATTCGCTCGAAAAAATACGCGAGATAAAAAAATATAGGTAAAAGTCCTGGGAAAAAAGTAATATCAATTTTGTGCTAATGAAGTCAGTATTAATTGTTTTAGGAGCGGCAGAGAGACAATATTTGAGATTATAGGAAAAATTCTATTATAGTCAGAACATAATATGCTTATGCGAGGCATAGTTAGATCTACAATGATTTAATATTAATATTAATATTAAGAGAATATAAATTATAGTTAATCTACTTGGCTCAGAAAAGTTTAGCCGTCTTACCAAGTCGGGGCTGTCACCATGAATAAGAGTGTAAATGAAGACATTACCAAGCATCGTTCTACGGTTGGCTAGGGAGGGTAGATGAATCAACAGAAGTCTACTAGAATAAGAAGGTAAGTTAAGATTTGCATCCCAGTTTAGGAGCCGTAAAGCAAAAAGAAGGAAGTTTTTTTGTACAGATACAATACGACCAATATGTATTCCGTATTGTAGACTCCAGACAGGAGAACCGTACTCCAGAATCGGATGGACTTAAGAAACAAATAAAGTTTAAGAGACATAAGGATCATCGAATTCTTTTGACCACCTTTTAATAAAACCGAGCACTCATCTGGCTTTATTAACCATGGACGAAATGTGATTAGAAAATTTTAGTTTACGATCCAAAAGAACGCCAAGATCGTTTACAAGAGTTATTCTTTCTAAAGAGCTGCCACTAAACGTGTTAGACGCGTGTATCGGATTGACTCGATAAAAAGTCATCAGCTTGCACTTAGAACCGTTTAAATTTAGTACATTATCTCACTATCTATAATGAATTTTGAACATGGTTTACTTGAGATAAGGATATGTCAAGGATGCTGTGTAATGCTGTCATGCTGTGCTATAGGTAGTAAGACATTCGATCCATCCTCAGTGGACCAAGTAACTCTATGTAAATTATAATCACCTAGAACTACTAACTGATCTCTATCGGAAAGCTTTTTTTCAACAGACTTAATAATGGAAAGGTGATTTAAATAATCAGGAAGTTCAGACAACGGCGGAGCTAAAGATCTCCATGTTTCTGTGAACACGATAATATGAGATGCAAAGGAAAGGCTATCAGAATACAATTTAGTTAGCTTGCTGCGCAAGCCTCCGCATTCTGATAGGAAAGAAGGATGTTAGAAGTTAGTTTTTTGAAAATAGTGCAAGGGTTTGAACTCGACTAGGAAGTCTTACTTCCTTGGGCCTCTTCATTTTTATCATAGCTTCGAACTTTTTAAGAACCATAAGCTGTCTTGGGACAGTTATCTCGAAGGATAAAATGTATAAGAAAACTTAAACTTTTCTATCTTTATACTATTACTATCGGCTTTAGTTTTGTCTTTTATATTATATATGACAATACATCCGAAGATGTTTGATCAGGAGAAAGCCGCGAAACGAAAATTTGTTTCTTTAGTGGAACCACTGAAAGGGATTTTGGTGGAGCAGACATTGTTTCTGCAAAACCAACTTGAGCCGACTGTCCGGATTCAGTAGTGCCTTGTGGCAGTGTAGCTACATATTCAGGGTGGACAAATCGGAATTCTTAGAAGTCCCTGGTTGCATGCATTCTTATACGGGTTGTTCGAATACCGAATCTTTATTAGCTGCTGATCTTAGCATCATTTGAGGGTTGGCTGCAATCAGCTGCTAACCCGCATCTAAGCATCTGTTTGCGCTTAGGGGAATCTTCGAATAGCGTTCGGCTTTTAAACTGCGAATCCAGCGCAGAGAGGAGATCATCAGCTCGTGCAAAAACGATCTCTAGCAACAACGAAACAGCAAATCAGCCCCTTTAAGCCGCATTTAGTTGGGCGCATGAACGATTTCATCCCACAACAGAACTGCAAATTGAGACCCTTTGAAAGGTCATCACTTGTCTGGCCATTAAAACCGGCGCACTTAGTGCTCACCATGTTTTCACACAGCCAGAAAGTCATGTTAAACTGCATTTTTTCAGAAACAGACCAAGGCTTAATGATTCGTGCCATTGACCAATTTATAATTAATAGAGTTTCTTCCTTCCAGCTGACCATTGGTTAAAGAACGTATGTTTTTATCAAGATACCAATAAATAGCGCTTTACAAGTACATCGCTTAGAAGCCAACATCAGGGTGAGCCGTTCTATTCTCCCAAATAGGAAAATGTTTTAAAGCTATGGGATAAAACTGTAAAAATACTTAAATTGTGAAAATCATAAAACTTGCGTCCATACTTCACTGTCTCACTGAGATACACTCTTAATATTTATGTCGTCAACCTTATTAAAATTTTCGTTCAGTTGTTACGGCCAGCAATCGATCACTTCTTCTATTTCGACCATTCTGGGTTTCAGATAAATATGTCAATTAGGCGATATTTTATGCTTTATTTTGTTTTTAAAAATTTGTAAAAATACAAAAAACTTAAAGCTTTTCTTCTTTTTACTGGCACATTTCGTGACGAGAAGGTAATGTGTAAACAATCTAAATTAAAATGCACATGAAAACTTAAATAAATTTCTGGGGAGCGACCTAACGAAATGGAAAAACATACTTTTTTGTGCATAAAGCTATTATTATAATGTTAAGCTATTGCTATAATGTAAATCTATCATTATAATGTTATACCATGCGAAACATTTAATAATTAAATTCAACTAGAAAACAGGAAGAGCTGTTTATAGTAATAAACATATAAGTTAACACCAGCCAGCGCCCCCAGCGGCCGCACACCACATTAGCAGATATTCAAGTGGCTACAGCAATGTAGCTGCTAAGCCATAGCACATTGGGATGAAAAGTTTTTTTTTTGGCATCAAGTCCAAAATTATTGTGTGAAATTTTCATCATTTTTAAATCAAAAAACTATTTTTAAAATTAAATTTTTAAATTTTTGAAAATATTCGTCAAGGTATGTATAATATTGCTTAGAGTGCTTACAATAGAAATGCTTTTGTTTCTTGCTGTATTTAATTGTTTTATTGAAACATGTGTTATGTAGAAGTTAACCTATAAATATTTGTGTTTCGTGGAGGAGAACTAGCAAGAGTACTCGATAAAAGTGCAAATGTGGAAATAATTGTTATTGTATATAATAACTTTTGCGCATACTTGCGCCATTTCAATAGATTCGAAACAACTCAAGATTTGTAAGGGCGAAGTCTGGAAGTGTGGCTGAAGAATAATCGCAACTTGGTCGATACCCTGTTAAAGCAGTAATTGATATTCCGCATTTCGAGCTCGACAAAATTTAGATTTCGAGTTAAATACAGATGATAAGTAAAATACAATAATATAACACGTAAACATTTTTTAAATATGGGATTGGGACGGTTGACTGGGCCTGGTCAAAACTAAAAAATGAATAAAAATCAAAACTTTACTATATTATGTACAAAAAAATTTAAGTCCGTATCGTTAAAATTACCCTTGTGGACGGGGATGGTTCATAGTCTTACTATTTCGGAAAACGTATCTTTAAAATTAGAGTTTATGCCAAAAAAAATACAATTTATCCCAATGTGCATTGGACCGGCGCAATAGCAGCAGCGGTAGCGAGGGAATAACAGCGGCAGAAGAAGCGGCAGCAACGGAAAGGCAGCGGTGTGAGAACGACAGCGGCAGCGCAGAATCGCAGCGGCACCAGATTCCCAACAAAAGATTAGGAGTAACGCCGATTCAGCGCTCAACTATTATAGGTTAGAACTCAAGAGAGTCTTGCATTACACTACGCCGACAAGCTGAACGCCACTACTCTAAAAAAATACGAATTAAATTAAATGACCCAAGGGAATAGATCATTTTGGTACTTCTACTTGCAATTTAATAACTCAGTTTCGCTTATAATAAATCGCTTAAAAAATATACTACTACTATTTGTTGCTTTTATACAGGGTCTTGCGCTGAAGCCTCTGGGTTGATAGTTATTCTAAAAAAACTAGTA